CCGTTCACCATTGGCCATACACTGTCCTGCTCTATAACTTGTGAAATTGTTTAACTTCATGTAGGCACTAATTATGTACCTATTTCATTACACAAGATGAAGCCTTATTTGCAACCCGTGAATGTTGGGTTGTTTACTTGGAAATAACATCTATTTATTCTTCTGCGAATGGACCATTATTTGAAGTAAACATTAAGGAGATTATTCACTAAAGAGCTGAAGGATCCAGCCGTAGCTTCGGCTGATCCTTCGGCTCTCTTCGAACTGAAGTGCTGCTGTACAGACTATTTACAATAGCCAGTACAGCAGCCGAAGACGGCCGAGCGGCTCAGCCGAGCCGAGCTGAAGGCATATGATTTTGCTCTACTGAGCTAAAGTGAAGGGCCGGCCCAGTTGCAATGACAGATCAGCATTTCCAAAATGACCTCGGGACGCTGATCTGTCATTAAACAATAACAACTGGGTGTAGCCGGCCGTGATGTCACGGTCGGCTCCGCCCAGTTGTTTTTTATTGGCTGGGACCTGCTAGAAGACTCTAGCAGGCGCCGGCCAATAGGAAACAGTTGGGCGGGGCTATCTGTCACCGCTAGCTCCGCCCATTTTTTTTCTTTGAAATATATTTTTTTTTTCTTTGACCATTTGTTTAAATTTTTTAAATATTTTTCCAATTTTTTTTCCCTTTCTTTTTACTTATTTTCTATCCTGTTTTGTACCACGGCGGTACTGAGCAGAATAGCCGAGCCGAATGCTGCTCGGCGGCATTCGGCTATTCACTCACTGCCGTTCAGCCCCTATGAGAATAGGGGCGAACGGCAGCGAATGAGCTGCCGGAGCTTCGGCACTGCCGATCCAGATGTTGGATCAGCTGATTTGCAGTCCTCCTGCACTCCAGCTCAGCCGAACCGAAGGCAGCCGATGTACGGCTGATTTTAGCCAATATACAGCTGAAATCAGCCGTACAAGGCTGAAATGTCAGGACGGCATGCTGATCTCTAATCATGTTACATGCATATGTAAAAAAAAAAAATGTTTATTTGTGAATTTATATTTCCTTGTATTCTACTTCTTCTTTTTGTTAGACACTGATGACATAGCCAGTGCCTCCCAGATGCCCCCTGGAAAGATTACATCACCAGTGGGAGATCTCAGGAGTAAAATGCAAAATATTTACAGGGCAGAGAGTGTGGCAAAAGTGAGAAACCTGTCATTTTGCAAAAATGTAGTAAAGTGACAGATTCTCTTTGAACAGTGTGATGTTGGGGCTCACGGTTCTCCTAGCCTCACCAGTTCTCCCGAGTCTCCCTTGCTGTCTTCGTGTGCCTCAGGCACACACACACCACCTGACTCCACTTCAACTGCTGGGGAAGTCCTCTTGACTTCTGAACACCGTCCATTCCTATCCCAGCAGGAGCTCACCTGACTCCTCTCTGACTTCTGGGGGAGTCCTCCTGACCCCTGAACAAGATCTGTTCCTATTTCCCCTCTGTTCACTGTTAAAGCCTGGACCCAGGACTGGATCTTTCTTCCCTCCTGAATCACCCACTCCCAGGATCCCAAGCATAATTCAGACAAACTCCTGCTTCCTGACACCTCTCAGCCCATCTGGCTGAGAGTGCTCAGCGATCACAACATCCAATTCTACAGTGGAATTGCCACACATTAGCACAACAGGAAGAAAAAAATACTTTCTGTTTTTCATAAATATGTCAGCATTATGTATGCTTCTGTGAAGGAAACGTGTTACAACAGCTTACACGTAGGTGCTGACTTCTTTATCAAATGACTAATTCTGCATTATTGCTCAAATTAAGCAAGAATTCCGAAAGACTATATCATATCATTTACATGCGGTAAAAAAGGGAAACAGAAATAATCACTAACGACTGACGAGTGAGGCCATGGTCAAAGTAAATTTATAACTCGTTGGGAAAATCGCACCCTGCAGAGTGATTTTCAAGACATGTTACAAGTACAAATGATTAGAACACAATGCAAATAAAATGTAAGTCATCTGCTACTGTTCAAAGCCTTAACATAATAAAAGGTATGACCACTGTAAAATAATAGAAGCAACTTATGAAGACTGCAATACATAATTAGAATCATTGGTTAAGTTAAAGTATATCTAAACTCAAGAACAAAAACATAATATATTTCAGCATGCCATTCCTTAGATGAGGTGGTTGAATTAGTTTTCTTTTTTCAGGTTAGGTACAATTTATACAGGTCCAGAAAATACCTGTTAGGGATTACTATCCTTGTAACTGTGTACTGAACTGAAATCTCAAGCAATGTTATCAGCTTTCCAAGAAACTACAGAATTCCTCCTTCCTATGTAATGGAAATGGGAAAGAGGGGGATGATTGTAGCCCAAATCAGGAACCAAGTAATCAGATGCTGCAGTGCCGTCCGTCCGTTTTTTTACTACGGGCGGACGGCAAGAGGTTAAAAGATACAGTATAAAGAGTAAAGCTGGCCATACACCTATAGAAAAAAATCTATAGAAAATCTATCAGCCTATAGTCAGATGGAAAAAGTACAACAGATTCCTCCATCTACACTAAACTGTGTGGATGGAGGAATCTCCCACTGGGCCAAGCTTCAGTATCTTGCTAGTCGGCCCCGCTGGCTCTCAAAATATCTGAACCATGCCTGCATCCAATCAGATTGTTCAGATATTTTGACAGCCAGTGAGGCCGACTAGCAAGATACTGAAGCTTGGCCCAGCGGAAGATTCCTCCATCCACTCAGTTTATCATAGATGGAGGAATCTGTTGCACTTTTTCCATCTGACCATAGGCTAATAGAGAAAAAATCTATAGAAAATCTATAGGTGTATGGCCAGTTTAAGTGTTGTCACCATTGGATAGAAATGGTGCTCCTTGTGTTACTCCCAGGTAATAATAAAGCAATAAATTGCTAGAAAAATGAATATAGCAACCAGATCTAAAGACTGGTAATTTGCAATATAATAAGAATATATTGTAGATTACTATATTTTAGGGTACAAGATTTGTGTACCCTAAAACCTTTTTCTTAAAGTTCATTAAGGGACACAGGACTTTAGTAATTCTCAGACAAACGGGTTATACTGTCACCTTCAAGAGGTTGGGACACTGGCAAACAAAAAAGCAGTATAAGGCGAATAACACACAGGTGGGATCTATGTCCCTCAATGGGCTCCAAGAAAAAGATTTTACAGTAAGGTCAAAACGTTTTATTTTCTTTATCATCTATTGAGGAACACAGGACTCTAGCAGTTCTTAAACAAATGGGATGTCCAACTCCAAGTCCAACTGACCTGTTTGGTTGTATGCTTGTTAAAGTGGGTGACTGGAGTGTTCATATTCCCTTTTAAAAGAAAAAAGCTCCACATTGTCAGGAGGGAGCCATGATACCATATGTTGTCTCCAGTCCCCATAGAGAAGTATTTTACATGCCAAGTGTATTGGAAAGGCTATTGCAGCAATAGGAGCTCTACGAGACCCTATGCCTGGAACAGCAAGCTGATCCTCAGTATAATATACAGCATCAATCAGATTATGAAGAATTCCTTGTAAATCTGAGTCATATGGAAATTGCTGAAATGCCAACTCTTCAGGAGCAGACTGAGAGGACTGTGGATCTAAATCAGAAATGCACATAGGGGTCTCAAGCACACTTTGACATGAAGATTAAGTAGGGTGAGAATTACATTCTGTTGTGGATGGCACCAGAAAGTGCTTAGAGCCCATGTGAGCAGATTATTCCATTAATTGTGCACAAACCAAACAAAAATCTGAAGTGGATATTAGGGGGGGTTGGGATATTGGGAGGTCTCAGCTTCACACTGAAGAGCTATATAAGATTCTGATGAGGATAGCCCAATAGTGGTTCCAGGATCTAGGTTACAGGCATCAGACCCTTCTGGGGATAAAAAAAAACAAAAAAAAACAGTCTTAGCAACAATGGAAAGGTATTGGCTGAGGTCACCTGTTGCTGCAGGACTGTCATCTGCGCATCTTTCAAAAGACATGCTGCACCATGTAGCAGAAAACAACTGGGCCAAGGCTTTTGCATACTCCCAAACCCAGGTGATTCTGAAGAGGGTCGCAGGCGGCCGGAGGCAACTAGGTCATTGAAGACAAGCAGTGGATCTAAATCAAAGACAGGATGATCCACAAAACACTTCAGAAGGAGGAGCAGCAGCAGGAATGTGCTTCCTCTATGCTGAATGGATGGAGAAGTGCACAGAACATGCAAGCGCAACACTCCACATATCAGATGGAGTCAATGCTCATTTCCAACTGTAAGGTAGCTCATAGTGCTTCAGCAAGACTGGCCTTAATCTCTAAAGGAGTCCACAGAACCACTGTGCCACGGCTCTGAACCTGGAGAGCACTCTGCGGATAACACAAGATGTAAGCATCTGGCACCACAATGTAGATCCCAGTGCCTGAATGTCACATTCCAGGCTAGCCTCATAATCTTCAGTTCAGCAGGCTCTAGGAACAGCCTCCAGAAATATTTCTGAGGATACACAGATCCAGACAGCTGCTCTGCAGAGACTAGTGTAAGCAGCGCTTGAGATTTTGATAGAAGTCACCAAAGAGATAAATATCTGCAATGTATCGAGTATATTGAAGAACAAATAAGAATAAAATGGCTAGGAAAAAAATATAGTTAGACTTTATGTCAGAAGAGCTGAAGAAAAGGTGTCCGACCTCTTGGGACACTAGCAAAAAAAATGAGGCTTGACAGTTGGAGGCGGCATAATACGGGGCTGACTTTACATTTTTTTACATGGTTTGGCACTCTCCCAACTTCCTGATGGCAGCAGTATAACCCAATTGTCAAAGAATTACTAAAGTCTTGTGTCCCTCAACAGATGATACAGAAATTACATTTTTGGTTGTCGCTTAGATATGTAATAAGAATTGCTGAACTGGTTGTATAGCAATATATATTTCAACTGCGTATTTAGCTGTTTGCCTACAGGTTTGCTTTTGAACAAGCAGTTACATAATGAGTGATTTCTAGTGTGGTATCACTGTCCCAAAAAACCTAATCAATGTTAGTCAAAATCCATTCTGTGTATTTGGGAACATCAGTGTAGACACCGGGCTTATTCTCCTCAGCACAGCCAGACCCCCAGCTAACAACACCAAATAGCTGCACTCTGCTGTCCACTTCACACACCAGGGGTCCTCCAGAGTCTCCCTGCAGAAACGCAATACAGCAAAAAGAAATTGTTAAAGTAAATCACTACTGTACTAAAGTACACTTTACAGAGTGTGTAGAAACATTTTAGAACTCCTGCAACTATAAAGTTTACAATGTATTACCCTAGTACAGTCACCTGATTTGAGCCAATATGAATAAATAAATCCTATTGATATTTTTTAGAAATATGAAGAGTGGATGGATGCTAAAGTGGAAGGAGGATGGAAAGAATTAAGCAGAGAGGTGGAGGGTATGAGGGGAAAGATTGGAAAAAGGGGGAAAGTACTGAAAAGAGAATGATTAGGAAAGAGGAAAAGAAGGTGGGTGGAGGGAGGTGTTATGGTATGTTATGGGTTAAGGTGGGTGGTGTGGCTTCCACTTTCACCTGAAGAAGGATCATGATAGTAGAGGCCCCTTAGGTCCACAATGTCTCTAAATACAATCCATGTGGCCTAGGTTGGTATGAAGTTGTCTTTTTTATTTGTCTTCACAAACCCATTCTATGAGGGTGTAGGTTCCCCCCCCCCCCAGTTGATACCAGACCTTTCAGGTAGCAATGTTAGAAGGGACCCCCACAAGTTAAAAATAAAAAAAAGTGTGTGGGGTTCCCCTCAAAAGTCATACCAGGCCCTTTAGGGAGTTCCAATGGAGTGGAATCACAATCCTAGCTGCAAGAATGTATTTGAGGAGTCCCTTTTTAGCAGTCTTAAAAGTGCTGGGTAACATCGAAAGCAGTGTAATCTGGGGGAGGGGGGTGTTGGGGACAGTGATCCCAGTAGTCTTGGTGTATATTGTTAGATTGGAGTCCCAGCATATCCGATTTGGGGTGCAATCCCATCAGATGTCATTGTATCAGGAGGATTACGACATCTCCACAATCTTCAGGGAGGAAAGGGTAGATTTGTCAAGTACACTAGGGCATCTATACCAATGGATGAGAAATTTTAAACTGGTCTCTTGAGTTTTTTCCCAGGCCTCAGGAGAGGGGGGATATGTGTAATTTTGTTGATCATTGTTTTTGGTGGACCAGACAGATCCATATAATCAACTTTTCCCTGAGCAAGTTTGGCCAAGGAATGTTAGCCAGGATCAATATGGAGTCTAAAAACATACAGGCATTCCCTGATGCCATGGTAAAAGGTTAAAGCTTGTAGGCACCTTAAGTCATCAGGCTCATATATCTGTATTGCATTCGTTATTTCGACGAATTTTCGGAAATGTGATCATTTCCGATGCATCCAAATTTCCGAATGACAGAAATAACGGACGCAAATTAATAAAAATTTCCGATAAAGAAAATGTTGGATGCATCCAAATTTCTTTCCTGAATGAAGTTTTATTGTGTTTAGCATCAACTTTAAAAAAAATCTGAATTTTCGTTAGTGGTAGTATGTACGAATTTTCCTTATGAACTAATTTACGTTGCAGCAAAGTGACATTAGACCAAAAAAAAGGCTTTTTTTTCTCTCCACAGAAGAAAAAACTAAAAAGTGTGATGTTCCCCCCAATTGATACCAGACCCTCTAGGTCTGGTAGTAAGGTTAGGAGGGACCCCCCCCCCCCCCAAATACTATTTCCTTGCAGCAAAATGTCATTAGAATTTTTTTTGTTAAAGTTAAAAAAAAGTGCGTGGGGTTCCACCCAAAAGTCATACCAGGACCTTAAGGTTAACATTCTGGCCAGAGATGTCATTTTGTGCTGAGCCTTCGTTCAAGTTAATGACTGGGTGACAACGGCCTCAGTAATATTTTCCTCCCTAGGCAGCAACAATAATTCCACTATACGTTATTATTGCTGACTGGGTAGAGTATATTATTGCTGGGGGGGGGGATAATAGTTTATTATATTTGATAATAATCCCCCCAGGCAGCAATTTTAGGTTAGAGGTAGATTATTATTGGTGTCGGTGCTAGGAGAATTACTATTGCTATTTGGGGGGATTATTATTGCTGTTTGGGAGAGATTATTATTGCAACATGTTATGTGGCAAGATTGACCGGGGGGGGGGCGTTATGTTAGGTAGGATGTACGGGGCCCCATGATTTATATTGGCAGTCCTGAATATAAGCAAGGTTTTTGAACATAAATGACATCAAGTGATAATTAAACCCTCAGGGTGTTTTTGCATATATCTACTGCATTCAAGCAGTAGATATATGCAAAAACATTTTTTTTTAAAATAAGTTCCGGAAAAAGTTTAAACTTACCAGTGTCTCCACCACGTGCTCCCATTCAAAGATCTGTAAAATCTCGGACGGCCGCAAAGGATCATGGAGCAGACGCATATGCAGTCCAGACCTTTGGCTGGGAGACGAGGTGAGACACAAGGTAAGTCAATGCAGGCAGCCTGTCAGCGTGCACCCACACAGCCTCAGGGGGACACAGAAGACACAGCAGTCAGCGCTGGATCAGAGACTGGCACCAGCGCTTGAGGAAAAAAGATGATCAGATCAAGAGGCATCATTTAAGGTAAGTCCTTACGCTAGCATGGTGAGGGAGGGGGATATCCTTTAATGTCACTTTAACATTAATAACATTAGACAAAACAGATTTATTATATTAATTATATAAGTTATATCTGAAAAATACTAAAAAGAATAGGCATTCCTTTTAACTTACTTGGCATGCATCAACACCTCCTTCCATGGAGCCAGCACACATCATACCAGCCATTATCTTACTACCATGAGAAAGAGGAGATTTGCATTGTGCACTTGAAAGGATTGGCGCTTGTGCTTCCTGCAGATAAAATGCATAATGATCGGCCCCTGTGGATACAAAATACTAGTGAAATTAGAAAGAAAAGTGGACTCCTCCCAAAAACTCATTATCTTCGACTTGATGTTCAGTTATCTGCTTACCATCGTACTGATGACCCCAACCAACCACTTCACAATTCTGTGCAGATGCAGCTGTCATGGTGCTCTGTGGTAAACACGCAGGCTGTACAAACTGGGAGAACTGGGCACACACTCCATTTACACCTTGCAGTTTCACCAGTGCTGAGGGGGGAAAACCATACTAGTCAACAGCATGTAGTGGATGCCATAATTTTGCTCCTACTGCAGGATTCATAATGCAGCCTTACCTAGTCCTAATATTGTTTCTTGTACTGAATATGAGCATTAGTGAGAGCGCCATCATTAGCCCACAGCAATAGGTAGATTGTTTGCATGTACCAGTCCTTAGATATGGTGGCTTCAGTTGTTCTGATTTTTTTCAGGCTTCATACTTCCTGTCATAGGGTGTAAACATTAACTGTACTGTATTTATGGTGAAGCGATGTGGTCACCGTAGGACAGGAAGTTTGTTAGACTACAGAAAACCTCTCCTTATCTTCATAACATAAGATGGGGTGTTCTGTAGATGAAATAGGTGACTTAAGCAGAGCTAAAAACAACATTTAAAATTTTAGTGCAGCACTGTCAGCCCACTACAGGAAACAGGGAGCTCAGTTGATTTTTGGTAGGATCAACACTTATCAACCAACACTTATTAACCAGATATAACACACTTTCAACTGCATATTTAATAGACCATAGGAGAGCAAATAACAGAAGTTAACAGGATTTGCATGCACTTTGAGCTACATTTAATTCACTCCAGTGTACATGAAACCCAGCCAGGATTGCCTGTTGTGTTCACATAATCCAAGATGGACAGTGTACACTAGAGGCTGTTGGATGGACCATTACCTAAACTCAGAGGGATATGGCTTGCCTTCTTCTCAGTATAGACTTTGAACACTTGTCTACAATGGTATAAATGAGAAAGTATGTTCATGCAGACATCATACATTACCTATATCATGTTGAAAAGTATCGTCAGAATAGAGTTTATGAAGAATGTATTTGTGAACTGGAAATTTTACTGTACGTTGGTCTGTAGTGTTAAATAGACTCTGTCCTAGCACCACAGTGATTGTCTTCACACTTGGCCTGGAAGAAACAGTGCATGCTGAAGCCAATAATGCCTGGTAGAAGAACAATAACCAATATTTTTGGTCTTCTGTATAAAATTGTCTAAAAGATGAGAACTATGTTGCTCATGGATGTGAGAGCCAAGGGCACAGAAGTGCAGGCGCTCCCAGAACCTTAGGACTAGATGAGGTTCAGGCTTCGACACATCATGTGCAACAGGGAATTTGGGGCCTGCACATATTATTCATGCCCTAACAGAAGCTTCACCATGCGCAGGAATTTGTTTAGAGGATGCTATTATGACTAAAATAAGATGATGGTGTTACTTATATCTAGGTCTTTTGGTATGAAGGTACAATTCTGATGATTTGAACTTTTGTACATCAAGGCAGATAAAAGGGAAGCATGGCAAATACAATCAGTGTAGTAATAAGGGGCAACCTAGACAATTTGTCTTTGAAAAAACATTACACAGGAAGACCCATATATTGGAAACAGTCTGCTGTTTCCACCTCCATTTAAAAAAATAATAGCAGAAATGAATATCTGTCTCAGAAATGGTAGAGTATATTTACAGTATGTAGATTTTTCAAAACAAAAAGTAGATAAAAACCAAGCCAATAGCTTGGGTACATGTTTAACACATAGTCCTTACTTGTGATCTAAACAGTGAGCAGCCGTTACAACCCAGCAGGAGGAGATGAGGGATCCACCGCAAAACTGTTCTCCTATATAGATGGCTGCCATATATGGATGAGAAGCAGGGAGTGCCACCAGTCCCCCTACAATACGTGGCGTCATAGAAGGGCTTTTTAAGAATCTCTTCCCACATTCTACAGGTATTGCACGATTGACATCTTTACTAGCTGCTGTACTGTGGGGAACAGTGGTGCTAATGGGATGACTGGGCGTTTTTGTTGGTAGTGGAGGTTTATTGGTTTGTGTCGGAGGTTTGCTGGTTTTTGGTCCAGCTGGATGTGATGGCTTTGTTGGACTGGCTGGAAAAAAAAACATTTACCATTATTCCAAAGAATGGAGTAAAGATTAATTATCTCCATTTATCAACCAACAAATTACAGAATACTCATTCCTGTTCCAGTAAAACGGCCAGTGATAAACCAATGAAAATCTGATTACGCAACTCAAGCAAATCTAATCTTAGTCATTAGAGCTTCAGCATAAAATAGTGACTAGTATAAGTAAAAGCAATATTACCAAACCTAATTTAAATGGCTATTAAATACCCAATACAAAACTAAACAAAAGAACACAGGTATTAAACCAGAGAGCATTGTCTCTAACCTATGATCCTAGAACTATTTTACTACAAATCAAGGTAGCAGAGAAATGGGACAACCGCTTCAAAACAAATCTTTGTGTTGGCTGATCCAAGTTTCGGAATACAGTTTGTTCAATGAAATTGCAATTTACGGGAATGCTATATTTTTGCAAAAATTTTGATTACCAATTTAAAGGAGGTGATGCTTTTCTTAAGTTTCATCAACCTAAAGACACTTTGTATTGATACTATACAGTTAAAACAATAAAATTACTTCCTAAGAAAGCATTCCTCCAAAGCATTGCTCCGGCAATAGAAGCCTGTGAATACTGGCGTGATTCCTCCCACTGGCCTCTACATCACTACAAGGCATAGTAGTGTCAAAGGGGCTGGCAGTAGAACATCTGAGTGTAGCAAGTGATGCAGGTATTCGACACTCATGGAAGTGTGAAATGCTGAAGATACAGCAGAGTTTGGACTTGCCACGTGCCAGAGAAGTATGTAGTCTTTTATTACAGGAGCAATGCTTTACATTTTTTTTGCTTTAAAGAGTTGTTTTAATTGCTTTTTAAGTGATAATGAGTCTGGCTGAGTCATTGAATATATTTAAACAGCTGCTCTTTTAACAGTACCTGCCCTTTAAAAAGATCTGCACTAGAAGCCATGGCTACACCCTGAGGAAGTCCAGGCAGACAAAATGTATTGGTGCTTTCAAACATTTTCACCTGCTGCATGTTAAGCAGTGCCTTGAAAGAGGTAAGAGCCACTACTGATCTATGGAAGACACAGTGAAGTATGCAATACTTATTAGGTGGCATGTCTACTTTCTAAAATATAAATTATATGTAAGTGCCTTAACCTGCTGTGACCAGGATTTAAGGTCTATCAAACACTATAACACACACCAGTTGACCAACAGAACACTTTAACACACACTGAGCTCAGTGCAACATTGGATCCCCATTTGGCTTCCTACACCATTTACATCTTAAAGGGTGAGCCCACCAAACACTAATAATTCAATTTTAGGTAGGTGCTTGGAAAGCTAAACCAGCAGACAAGTTGTTATATTTCTCAGGGACTCTTGATGAGATATCTTTGCTTGAATCAGTATACCTGCTGTTGCAGTTAAAAGCTGTTTCCTCTCTTTCTGAAATTGTTTTGTCCATTTTCTATAATGGGGAATCCAACAGGAGGTGTTGAAGCATGGAAATGTAGATGGGAACACCAAAAACTCCCACATGAACAGGAAGAGATCTTGCTGTTAGAGTTTCCAGGATATATAAGAAGCCATGAGCTGATTCAGCCCACCACGTGTTATCTATTATATGACCCAGATTGTAGATGGCTTGCTCTTTGCGGTCAATACAATTTAGGCTGGAAGATAAGTGGGCCTATTCTAAAAGGAAAGCCAGTGTCCCAGTTATCATTTTCAGGAAATTAAAGTATATCTAAAGCCAAAAGATTTTTTTCCTTAGTTTTGGACAGTGTGGGAAAAGTGTTGAAACCAATGTCGTGGTTTTCATTACTGGCTGTGTCCCCACTGGGGAGGTTGACCTTTTTTGTCCTAGTTACGATTGTCACAGGGACACATGGCAAATCCAAAATGTTACAGTTGTCACCAAAACAGAAGTTGAGGGGAACATTTCCAATGAGGACACCTGTTCCGGTGAAAACTGTTTAAGACAAGATTTCCTCTCACTTCCTGTTGTGTCTCTGGGACAAAAGGTAACACTGTCTGTGTCCAAATGGGTCCCAAAGGTATACGTGAAGAAGGCATTTCTGGATCATCTCTATATTTGGTCTCAAACGAGGTACAGTCTATGATAATTTGCATCTAAAAGAGAATCTCAGTGGGATGGGCTAGCAGGAACTTCTGAAAAGGTCTATAAAAAGTTTTACAGGGTTATATATGTACTCTTAGAAGAGTTGGTATAACGTGTTATAAGAACAGAAATTTGTAAATATCTACCCATTACTGGGTTTTAATTAACTTTATAACTCTCACCAGGAGCCTCTTGTTTTCCTGTGGGTTTAGGTGTAACTGTCGGCTGTTGACAATGAGGAATATCACAGTGTTCCCAGCTGAGGACTTCATTTTTCTCTACAAAACACCAAGGCTGTATGTCCCCATCTGGGTTCCTGTAAATCACAACAAACACACTACTTTAGTCAAAGAGAAACATACTTTTCTACAAGGCGATGGAAAGAGAAATGGTAAGGCACAAGGTGGAATATTACATAGCACCCCAATAGACATTATCTGATTTATAACTATGAGTATTTACTTGGTTACTATTTGAAACTGCTGCATAGGAGAGCATGCTGGCGTGTCTTTAATGCAGGGACTGTGCTTTAGTCAGTTAGATAATTGATAGGAATTAAAACACAAATACAGGTCAGGAACAAAGCTCACGGCCCATCACCACCCACCTTCCACACACACACTTTTTTTGTTTTCTTTTTAGTATACAAAGGGGGGAATTTATCAGAACTGGAGCAAACAGAATCGGGAGCAGTTGCCTATAGTAACCAATTAGATTCTCATTTCTGTTTATTTAGTTAAGTTTTGAAAATGAAAGAGAGAAGCTGATTGGTTATTGTGGGCAACTGCTCTAGATTCTGTCTGCTTCAGTTTTGATACATTTCCCCCATAATATCATAGTATGACTGTTGTTCAATTAAGCAGTACTGTGAGTCTAGGGTGGCATGGTGAGGCAAATCATGATTCACAGGAAGTGATTTGAATGATGCTTGGGGGTCATATTACCGGAAAGACAAGCAGCAGCAGGAGGTAGTGGGGGGTCTTAGGCCAATATTGAAGGTTGCTTTTTTAAGAAGGGATAGACATTGGTTTTTTTATTTACTTTAAATTTGAGCTGTGCTTTAAGCGCTATAGACAGCTCCAAGATAATATTATTCATTAATGTCCATTTCCATGCATTTATTATCAGAAGACAGTTAGCCATTAAGACTGAACTGGATTGATAGATAAGATGTACAGTATGTAATATATTTACTGCTCCCTTGTAGGAACGTCTTTGGGAAGTAAAAAAAAAAAAAGATGATCAGAAGATTTTAAGTTATGCTGATAAATCTAAATGTTATTGCTGTTAGATAGAATAGGTGTAAGGTCGAGACCAATTTACCATAATCTGAGTTACCTGTAATCCACTACAGACATGTTTCAGGTAGAATAGGTGTAGGAACTTGGACAAGATCAATTTACCAAATTCGAGTTCCTGTTGAACCAGTTGAGCCGAAGGGCTGCTATACTGGCTATTCACAATAGCCCGTACAGCAGCCGAAGGCAGACGAGTGGCTTAGCCGAGCGGAAAGGCATATGCTTCGGCTCTATTGAGCCGAAGTAACACTCGAAGCGGGGCAAACGGCCGGCCTTAAGCCTTGCAAATTACAGCTGGGTGGAGCCAGCCAGGATCTCACGGCTGGCTCCGCCCAGTTGTAATGCCAGATCAGCGTCCCCAAATGATCTAGGGAAGCTAAACTGTCATTAAACAATAACAATTGGGCTCTGCCCAGTTGTTATTCATTGGCCGGTGCCGGCCCATGGGAAACAGTTGGGCGGAGCTAGCTGTCACTGCTAGCTCCGCCCAATTGTTTTTTTATTATTTTTTTCTTTAAAAAATCTTTTTTTATGTTTTTAATTTAATATTTATTTACATTTTTAAAAATATTTTTTCAACTTTTTTTTTTCAACTTTTTTCACTATTTGCTATTCTGCTCGGTACCACAGAGGGGCCAAATGCCGATCCAGATGTTGGATCGGCTAAGTTGAAGTCCTTCTGCTTGTTTACATTAAAACCTCCATGGGAGTTGGGAATTTGCTGGGCAGCTATGAGAAAATTCTCTGCACTGACATTAATCTACAAACATAAGTCCTTCTGTAGTTGAGCTACAGCAAGGAGCCAGTAGTTTGACATGTATTGGGCTTATGTTGAAGGGCAAATACAAAGTTCTCTTAGGTACATTCAGCTTCCATTTGACATCAGTTGGAGATGCTTCTAAGATCATTCATTACAGGTGTATTTGACCTGCAGTTGACATCTGTCTGAGTTGCATTTCACTTCTAAACTGCATCAATGCCTATATGTGAAACACCCGGTACCGGGTGTTCGCATTGGACGGGTCTTTTCTGCCCGTGCGTGCCCGCTAGGGGGCGCGCGCGAGCAGAAAAAAAATGCCGTCTGGCGACGGCAACCCGCGAATGCGACAGTGCCGTCCATCCGTTTTTCTACTACGGGCGGACGGCAACTGGTTAAAGTGATATTAAAGTCAAAAGGTTTTTAGGTTATTTCAAATACTGATAAATGCAATTACAATGTATGCTGCTTCTTGATGTTTAAAAGTCTTAGTTACCTGAAGAACCAGATGGACCTCTGTGTCCTGACCGTGATATCCTGTTTTAGGGTAGCTCCTCTCCCTTGCAGAGTCCTATGGAGCCACCCTTATGTGTGCTAGTAAGCTGTGTGTGTCTCTACAAACACACAAGTACAGAAAGGCATCCCACTCCACTCCTTCCTCCTCCCTTGTCCAAGATAGTAGATGGACAGCTGCTGCAGACTGTGCTGTCCCATGTGATTTTGTACTGGATAAGAAGTTCATAAAAGTCAAGCTGAGAGAGTTGGACCCAGCTGTTTGGAAACATGGTGACTGCAAGTGATTGGGCAAAAATGTTAAAAAATACTTTGTCGGGGAAGGTATATATTTTTTTTGGATCTGGACTCATTATTGAAAAAAGGTTGAGAGTTTAATACTATGTCAAGCTGCTTTAACATTTGCATTGTCTATTATGGAAGAAAACCAGTTTTGACGTGAAAGAAAAACCCCATCAACACTAGCCCTAACTGTTTTGGAACAGCTCTCCTGCATCACCAACAGACGTTATATCACCAGATTATGGACAGTAGAGAATTTGGTAGAGAGCTGCATCATTGCAATCTATGCTGGTGTCTGCTCCTTGGACCTAGAGTGTACCTGTGATAGTGTGTCAAAAATAAACAACGGTTACATCATTTATCATGCATTGAAAGTTAAATGGTAGATAGGCTGTAATGTTTGCCCTCTCAGCATATCTGATATTTTTTTTTTTTTATTTGCTTAAAAGCTATATAGGCTGGGGACTAGATTTGTAAGATTCCAGTCCCCAGCAGACTGGCCCTTTTTCCTCATTTCTTCAATGCTTTTGCATTGTACTGTATGTTTCATGCAGGGATAATAATATAAGCATAGACCTATTTTGCACAAACATATTTGTATTATTTAGGGCGTACAGTGGTATCAAGTCTGTACTGGTGCACCAAGAAACCAGAGCAGGAGCATGACCAAGAACAGAACCATTTAACTCCCTAATACGTGGTACAATATTCAGTATAACAGTGAGCCCCTATTTTTATTTATTTACTGTACCTTACATGCAATGAATAGGTTAACCTAGTTTAGAAAATGCCCAGTTTGAAACGTTATTGCTAAAGAAGCATCATGCTGTGCCCTTATTTATGCCAACAATATCAAAATGATTATTTCATGAAGCGGTGTACAAATAGTTCTCGTCTTTTCAGCTATTGTTAAATGTCTTTATACAATGCCCATAGAAATCCATTCCCAAAGGGGTGAACAGACTTCAGTGTTGACAGCTTGCATAAGGAAAAGGCCTAAATATGACTTTAAAAAACACAGAAGCGTCTACAAAATGATATGCCGGTTTTTAGTCACCAGCACTGTAAACTATTAAATTAACTCACTTTTTAAATGATTATTTGTAAATCGATTTCTGAACAATTAAAATATACAATTGTTTTAGGAAAAACAAGGTAAAATACCCAACTTACTGAAATGCAGATGTTCCCTGAAGCCAACATATACCTTTCAATCTCCTCTTGATGATGTAAGCAAATATAGACTCGGAAAAGGAAAAGCCAGCTTTGGAACACTCCATCCCACCTCCCAGGCCTTGCTTATAAACCTTAAAATGTGACAAGTAGCCAATGACCAATAGTGAGATGTAGGAGGTGGGAGGAGTAGATCAGTTCTCAGCTTGCATTCTTCAAATAAATATTTGCATATTAAAGTGCCTCAGGTTTTGGGGCTCCCAAAACAGCTGTCTTTAAATCTACCCTTTCTATCCCTTCTCCATGGGTGCTGCCCACTAGGACACATACCCTCATCCAGCGATCTTTCACTATGAGGTCCTGCTCGTAGCCACATAGCCTGTCTTCTGAAAACAGGCATTTTGTACTGCACATGTGTGCCATGGCCCCATTCATTCCAATGGGATGCTATACTACTGCAGTGAACATGTGCAGTATGAAGCAGCTATTTTAGTCTGTAGGGATCCAAATGGGGTCACATAGTGAAGATCGCTAGACTAGAACTGAATGTATTTGTCCTAGTGGGCAGCATTCATTGGGATGGGGGAATTTATCAACGGACAACTGCACAAAGGTACAGTTGTCCATTAAATAACATATAAAGTCTCTTTCAATTAATTCATTGAAAAAAATCTTCAATTCCTAATGAAGAAAACATGGCACAGAGATTATTCTCTGCCATTGAAACACAAGTCCCCATTTAGAACCTCACTCGCTGAAGAAAATGTAAACTATTATTTAAAACAAGGTCTCAAAGCATGGATCTATAGCAGCCTTTCTCAACCTTTTTATCCCAGAGAAACCCATGAAATAATTTTGAGGTCTCAAGTAACCCCTTCTAAAAACAATTACTATATCTACAGGTCACGGTACATTAGCATGATAACCAAGTTGTAGAACATTTTAAATAGAAGAATAAAGAAAATGGCATAACAGAGTATTTGCTACCCAGAGCAGACTGCTTTACAACACTCCCCTGCTCCACACATGCAATAATAATCAAATTAAAGAAATAACAAATGCCAGAAATACACAATCTGTGCAGATGATTGTAGCATCCCCTTACACTAGTTGTAATTGGAAAGTTTATATTACATTGGTGGTCAATAGACATGTAGGCCGCCAGGTAATTTGTTTTGTTTTCGTTTCGGATCCATTCTGACTTTTTTTCGTTTTCATTATCGAATCCGAAGTTCAGATCAGTTAGATAATCATTAATAGGATTTCGGATGGATCCGATATTTATAGGTATTTGGATTGAGTTAGTTATTCACATTCAAAATTAATTTTTAAAAATAGCGTGGGGTTCCCTTTATGTCTGGAGAGGGGGGACGATTGTGTGCCCCACCTGCATCATACCAGGCCATATGCCCTCAACATGGGAAGGGTGCTTTGCCACTTTGTTTACATTCTATTAGGGGACCAAGAGCTGTCATGGAATGTAATCAAAGGGGAAGAGCAAGGCCAGTGATGTCATGCCTGGCTCCGCCCCTTTGTTTATATTCAGGAGCAGAGCTGTCATTAGCGGCGAGAGTTTATTGTGTTCCATTCAGAAATTCGAAAGCATCTGAACTTCTGAATATGCCGATTCATCCGAATTTCAATTAGGAGTAAAACTAATCTTACATGTCTAGTGGTCAATGGAAAAATACCATCTCACATTGGTGGTCAGAGAAAAAAATGCCCTTTTGCATTGGTGAAGTGACCCTTTACATTGGATGTCAGTGGGTGATTGCACCATACACATTGTAAGTGGGATATCAAGCCCCTAGCACCCTCTGGAGGAACACTAAAATGTCAATGTCACAAAAGTGGGAATTTCAAAGAAGAGTGCATGTGCGGAGATACCGATGGTGATTGTGATAAATCTGCTTGGCAGTTACCCACCAGCTGTTGTATTGGAATTTTACTGTACTGGAGAGCAATCATTGGTGGTTTTAGACAGACTGGGAATCATCAGATACAGTATATTTCTTCCTATAAAGTGTAGCATGCTCAATAATGTGTAAGTGTAACACTTCAAGGTATTTATTACCTCTCACAGAGGTTACAATAGTTGCCCTGACAATGCCCTTATTTGATTTTCAAAATTTCCGATTGGTAAAGGGGCAAGACTTATTTTCTGTGCAAAACTTGATGGCTGGTGATCTGATAACTGGTGTAATGATCAAGAAGCAGAATTGCAGAAAGCACAGATCCGCACAGTGAACTACAGTATGTAGGTACAGGGAGATTCTACACTTCCGGTCCTCAGGTACAAATTACTCTCTAGCAGGCCCTCAAAAAAAATCATGAGCAAAAACATTGGTGATATCACCAAATGTCACTACAATGCTAAGAAAAAAACTCTTCCTTAGAGTAAATCAAGCACCAGATATTCAGCTGTGAGGCAACATGCACAGAATTGCCTTGGCAATGTGATATTTCAGAAAAGGGGACTGCTGCTTTACATGAAGTCAAGCCAAAATGTAGCTTTTTCGGGGTACTGCTCAGCCACAATTAACCTTTCCTATTTATAAAATGTTTGCAGAGTAAAGGTCTCTAAGAATGAGAAATGTAGCGTATTATGGCCACTAGAAGGAGCCAAGGAGTACTGGAAATTCCTATGCTCCTTGGCTTCATCTTGTCGCCATAATGCACTTCAAATCTTGTTCATAGAGACCTTCACAGAATAAATGTTTCATAAAAAGACCCCTAAGAGTGGCCTATGAAATATTTGCCCTCTGACACACATGTACCAGCCCTGCCTTGTTACAGGTCTTCAATTTCTTTTGAATTTTTAACATCTTTGAGACACAATTGCTGTGTTTGCAATATCTGTGTTTGCAATAAATTCTTCTCTATGGTACGTTGTACCTTGTCTCGATGTCTCACCTGCAATATGAATGAGGACCTATGCCATGTTTCTTTGCATGATGTCCGCTGTATATGGAAACCTCATGATGAATGATGTCAGATTCCCAGTTTAAACATGGTGTACCTGTCACTGTGACCTTTGCAGTTCCTCTATAGCTGGTGCCATTTCCAGAGAAGCAATTTTCATTTTTATCTACAAGACAGACACATTTTAGATAAACACATAGATGTACATGTAGGGTAGGTATGGGATTGTCAGTCTTTGCCTTATTGATATGTATATTTATGTTTGTACTTACTTATCCCACAGTAAGGTCCAATGTATCCCTGTGTACAGCCACACACCTTGCTATTTTTGTTTTTAATGCAGTGTCCTCCATGGAGACATGAGTTGTCAGAGCAGCCTTTGAAAGCAGAGGAAAAATAACATGAAAGTCACAAAATGCTCATTTTAGACTTTAGAAATTACATAATTGTATCTCCAGCCACAAGTTTTTTTTAGTTTTAGATAGATTGTGAAAGGATTGAAACCATATTAAGTGTTTACTGTTGTCTGTGTCCCTACTGTGGAGATTTACTCTATTTGTCCTGGTGACCACTGTCACCAGGACTGATGAGATCCTTATGACCAGAACAGAAAAATTCAAAATCAAAGGGCACATGCCTTGCCATAATTGGATTTATTTAGGCATAACCCATAACAACCAACCAGACTTTAATTTGTTCTAGTGAGATAAGCGAAACATGAAATTAGGGATGTTCAGCTACCAAGTAGTGATGGGCCGAATTCGTACTTTAAAACCTGGAAAAAGTTCAAATTCGAACTCGAACTCAATGCAGCCTACATGAAATCGTTCTTCTTGGTATGTTTTGGTGCACATTGTACATTCAAATGATAAAATGTAAATGAGGCCTGTGCATTTTGTTGCTAGAAAGCACATAAGGTTAAATAAAGAATATTATGTTTACTCATGCTGTAAAAGTGGAAATACACTTTAAGTTAGCCAATAAAGGATTAGACTCCAAACATTCTGCACTAATCAGTGCATCTAAAACTACATGTCCTTTTAAGACTACCCTGTCCACAGCTGACAGCACTACTGTTTAATATCACTGCAGAACGAATAGAGCAGTCACCCAGTTACAGAAAGTAGAAAACTAATGCATCTACTAGCAGGATAAACAGGTAATAAAGCTATGTTACACCGAAAAACAAAAACTGCTGTTAATTCTAGTGACAAACTGCATGATATATGACATGGTGGGAATACAGTCTTTTTGGATAACAGATCTTACAATCTGTATTTTTAATGCAGACAGGTCATCTGACTTACATATGTATGTAAGTATAAGGTATTCTCTAACACAGCATGCATGTCTCCTTCCCTGCACATCTTAATACTTGACCTTCTGCAATCCCTTTTTAGAACATAAAAAGGTGGGAATGTGAGTCACACAAACCAAGTCTCTCACCCACAAGCACCTTTTTGCCACAGTCAGTTAATGCTGTAGTAGCTGACAATCTTTTTCCTACATCAGAAAAGCATCTCTTTAAAAAGTGTCTATGGTCAAAAAATAAATATGTATTTCTATACTGAATTTCCATAAGTTCTATCTCACTCCTAATAACCATATCCACCTAGAAGTTTGTAAACATACTAATTAAAGAAGCCCATAGGATGCACTGACACAACTTCACTCAGCCCTGTGAATATGCACTTTCTTGCATCACAAAGCCTACTGTCTGAGCTACAACTCAATTCTTTCGCCCTCTCTCACAATCAACATAAGAAATGTAACAATATAATTGCTTGCTGGAAGAAATCCATTATGGGCTATGTAGTCTTGAGAAAATTGAGATTGCATCACATCAAGCAGCAGGGAAAGAGACGCAAAGCACACTTGGAGTTTTAGGAAGTGATGGGCAAACAGAAGGCAACACTTACTACATAAAAGGGATTTTTTACAAGTAAGCTTTGATTGCATTATGAACAACAACTATAGTAAGCAATGGTGATGTATAACAGGATAGTATACTGAATCAGTATGATCTGCATCTGTTGCTGATGCAGATCATACTGATCGCTCCCTCGTGGTGCCGTCAGTGACACAGACAGGGATCGATTAGTAGGTCTGCATCAGCCTGAGATGCAGATCACACTGATCCTACACTCCACCATTACTATAATCCCCATGTGTCACACTGGAGCCCAGGAATGCAGCCCCCCCTTCCTGCAAAACAGGTAAGCAGAAGAGGGGGGCATTTTTTTATCAACTATTGTTATTAGTTGTGTGTGTATGTGTGTTTTTATTGTGTGCTTTTTTAATGTGTGCGGGATTTTTTTTTATTAATAAAGCTATGTGTGTGTGTTTTTAATGAGTGTGTGATATGTGTGTTTCATTACGTGTATGTGTGTTTTGTTTTTTTAACCACTTCCCGCGTGAAGTGTACGTGCTCCGCTGGAAGTGGTTATACCAAGAATATGGCTGCTCCTTGTACCGTTTTAAGGCCTGTTCACACCACTTGCAGTGCGTTCCGGCCGGAATGCACTGCATCGCATTGCGGCCAGCTCACTTTTTTGCCGGGCTGGAGGGGGCGTTTGAGGTGGTTGTTGCAACCGGGCGGTGCGGGGGGGCCCGGCCTAAAGCCGCGTAAGGGGCCCCGAAATTTCTGAAGGCTGCCCTGAGTATACACTGGGACTTTACAACTCCTTTAACTTTTGTTAAATTTTTCAATTATGGCAGCATGGAAAAGAGAATGAATGCTGCTAATGATGCACCTCCAACTTACGCATGCCTGTTGTTACTTTGCAAACAGTCTCCTTCTCGCCACAGGTACATTCTTCCAAGATGGGGTGTTTGTATCTTAGCCACTTGTCCTGGGGCTCAAAGTACTGTAGCAGTGTTGCATCAAAGCATTTATCTAAAGGTAAAGAGAATAATGAGCATACAACTGTATTATTCTTCTATTCACAATCTGGCATGGAGACAGCAGTCTGTATATTTTAGATATCATACCATCTTATCTGCAACTGTGTTTTGTTCAAGTATGTAATGGTTTTATTACATTTATGTAAAGTTACTTTATTTATGCAAAGCTGTTAAAAAAAAACAACTACTGCATTTGGAACGACTTTCACTATTCTGGCTTGGGCCTATCTTTCGAAAAGGAAACCCATGCAGATAGAAATATGTGGACGCCAATTGCTGATCTCAAGCTGATCCACTGGCTAGAGACTAGCAATATCTTTTAAAACAATTTATGAATTAAATAAGTCAGTAATAAATGATAAAAGGTACAAATATTACTTGGCTTCCGGCAATTTCATATAAAAAAAAAGAAATGTACAAGAAGATGGAAGGTGGGATGTCAATACACGTGACCCAGGGGCTTTATAAGGGAGTAGTCAGTAATAACGACAGACATTATGATGCCATTTTGTGCACTGTACACAATGTACTTTATGCCCTAAAGAAGCCATGTATGATCCACTGGCTAGAGACTAGCAATATCTTTTAAAATGATAAAACACATTGAGAGCACAGGGTAGCACTTGGCACTTTTTAGTTTAATGTTTGAAGCACTTTTGAACTTTTAAATGTTGTTTGTGAGGGTAATATGTATGAAATAGTAAGATAGCAAGACAGTGAAAATTTGGAAAGTCTGTCTACCTTGATTTAGTTAAACAGAGAGTAAGATAATGTTGGTAGTAACGCACAGCCAACGCAATGAGATATTCTTATACAAGATATTCTTATACAATATAGACCTCATTTGGAACGACTTTCACTATTCTGGCTTGGGCCTATCTTTCGAAAAGGAAACCCATGCAGATAGAAATATGTGGACGCCAATTGCTGATCTCAAGCTGATCCACTGGCTAGAGACTAGCAATATCTTTTAAAACAATTTATGAATTAAATAAGTCAGTAATAAATGATAAAAGGTACAAATATTACTTGGCTTCCGGCAATTTCATATAAAAAAAAAGAAATGTACAAGAAGATGGAAGGTGGGATGTCAATACACGTGACCCAGGGGCTTTATAAGGGAGTAGTCAGTAATAACGACAGACATTATGATGCCATTTTGTGCACTGTACACAATGTACTTTATGCCCTAAAGAAGCCATGTATGATCCACTGGCTAGAGACTAGCAATATCTTTTAAAATGATAAAACACATTGAGAGCACAGGGTAGCACTTGGCACTTTTTAGTTTAATGTTTGAAGCACTTTTGAACTTTTAAATGTTGTTTGTGAGGGTAATATGTATGAAATAGTAAGATAGCAAGACAGTGAAAATTTGGAAAGTCTGTCTACCTTGATTTAGTTAAACAGAGAGTAAGATAATGTTGGTAGTAACGCACAGCCAACGCAATGAGATATTCTTATACAAGATATTCTTATACAATATTCTTATACAAGACCATATTTGTAAGAATAAGAGACTAGCCTTTGAAGAAAACGTCAGCAATTGCAGCCTTCATATTTTCTCAGGTACATGTTATTTTCAAGATAACATCAGCTTAGCCAAAGCAAATACTTTCCTATCAGGTCAGTATTCAACTATTTACCTGTTTTTGGCAAAAAAAGCTCCATCTCCCTTCTGACAAGTGGAACATAAGTAAGCATGCACATTCTATGGGGGTCCAAATCTATAAATATGGCCATGTGCTGTGTTTGTCTTGACAGAACCATCATTTGAAATGGCTATAGGTTGAGAATATCTATTACAGCTCACCTGGGAGTGCCAGGTTTGTAGGTCTTCACAAACATCCTAAATGCCAAAAAAGAGCCAAGTCTCCATGTGTGAGACAGTGTTTCCCAAAGCTTGGTGGAACAAAGGAGTGTATCTGCTGTCACAGCTGCCAACTAATTGCCACTGTAGAACTTGAACATAGTGTAGTACTGAGTTATTAATAGTCCTGCTGCCCTGCTGTTACAGTGTACCTTGTTTGTCAGACACCATTTAGCAGGTTAAGGAAGCTGTCTACTTACATTTGATTCTGCATGTTACCAATCCTACCTTTCTTTTACGGTCAAATCAGCAATTACTCCTTAGTATGACCATGTCGGTCTTTTGATTCAGAAAATTAGAGTGAAAGTGAGTAATTTAGGTTTAGCATACCATTTACATTTTCTTTATGTAGTAAATTAGAAGATTGAATTAAAATCATTACCTATGTTAAAACGTTAGGGTATGCATTTCCTTACTTTGTTAAGTGATGTTCGGCCTTCGCAGCCTTTTCACTAGCCACATACCCCAGAATGGTTAAATGTTGGCGTGTGTACCACACGTACAGTATATATACTGCAACATTGCTTCGATCTATCTATTAGACATGTAACCCCGCAAAAAAAAATGTTTTGTTTCATTTCGGATCGATTTAGATTCTTATTCCTTTAATTTTTCAGATTTCATATCCGAAATGTAATTCAGTTCGTTATTCAGATTTCACATCTGAACGAGCCACAACATGAAGTCACATGACCGTGCCTGTAATACAACCCTCAACAGCCCAAAAAAAAAATCTGATTGACTAGACAACAGACACATGTCCGATTTAGTTTAATTTTGAGTGAAATTTGGACGGATCCGAATTTCTGTTAAATGAACATTCGGATTAATTTGCATCCGGACTCGTTCAATTTCAGAAATTCAGATGCATCCGAACTTAATGAAATATGTACGAATATCCATTTGGAACAAAAAATAAATGTACGTGTCTTCTATCTATCTATCTATCTATCTATCTATCCATCTATCTATCGCTACATAGTTCCCTTAACTCACAATGCTTCCCACCCTACAAGTACTGTTGCAGTGTTTCATCAAAGCATTTTTCTAAAGGTAAAGAGAATAATGAGAATACAACTGTATCATTCTTCTATTCATATTCTGGCACGGAAGCAGCCACCCTGTAGATATTAGATATCATATTATCTTATCTGTAATTTTGTTTAAGTATATAATGGTTTTCTGTCATTTATTTAAAGTTACTTTATTTATGCAAAGCTGATAAAACCCCCCAGAGCTACCGCATTTAGAATGACCTTCCCTATTCAGGCTTGGGCCTATCTTCGGAAAAGGAAACCCATACTGATAGAAATATGTGGAATGATTGGAGTGTATCCTCTTTATGTTCTTTCTAAATGAGAAAACAGAATTCTGTCTTCTCCAAAATGGCTACTGGGGCATTTCTGGTCCACTGATCACATCAACATGTTTTCTCCATTGCAGCTACAACTAATAAATTATGTGAGCAAATAAGTATATTCCCTGGCAAAACAGTCACATACATAAAGCCCACAATGATACGCATACTCCACCCAGAGAGAGACAAAATACATTACTCTGAAAAACAATGCGGTTCATAGGCTAAAAGATCACTGCACTGGCTTATGAAATTCGCATAGGGTTATATCACTTTGTGCATCAAAATACAGTCATGCAACCTCACACCACCTCATTCACACTAACGCGCATATACGCGCGTATTGTACCATATGCAACATATGCCAATAAATGGCTCCATACACATAGTCGTGTATGGAGCCGTATATTTGCATAGCGTAAAAATTCGCAAAAACAGAATGGAACCGAGATGCGTCCGGGCAGCGTATTTCTGCATATTTTACGAGCATATGCATGTATACGAGCGTATACGAACCTATGTGCGTACAGTTCATTAAAATTTCTATTAGGGATGATGCATTCTGAGAATGGAAATAGTGGACGCACATACACTCGTATGCGCATAGACGCTTATATACGCAATATACAATTTTGCTCTTGCTTGGTGTGTGAATGAAGCCTAAATCTCTGGGTAGTTGTGCAAATAGCTGCCTATGACTTACACTTTCCAGCTTACCTTTTTTGCAGTTCTTGCCTGTGTATGGCTCATGGCACACACAGTTATAGCCTCTTAAAGTGTTTTTGCATATACCTCTGGGTTCACATGGGTTGTCCTCACAATGATCTGTGCATAACAAATCAAAATGTAACCAAATTATATGAAAATGTTGACTGCAATTAAAGTGACATTAAACCCTCAGATTTTTTAACATAAACCAATACTGTAATGTGTGCCTTACTGCCTTACTGTAGCCTGTCAAGGGATTATGTTAGAAGTGTAAACATTTCCCAATGGTGCCAAACTAGAAAAAAAAAATTCTAGTAATGCACCGAAATTACATTTTTAGACCAAAACCAAAAACAAACATTTTGTCAGGCCGAAACTGAAAATTACTTTTTTCCCAACCTTTTTAAAATGTTTAAAATTATTTTAAAATTATTTTATTTTTATTTATTCATATTTTTTTACTTTACTGTTAGGGGCTTTGAGGAAAGATCTGACAGTGGCCTAAGCAGACCCCTGATATTTTCCTTTTAAAATAGAAAATTAGATTTAGGAAACAGAGTCCTAAATCTTTTTGTCTGCAGCCCCTCTTATGAATGAACGGGAAGCCTCTATACTGAGTGTGCCTGTCCATTCACAAATTGAGGAGATAGTATCAGTTATGTCTACAATCATGACTGAACAGGGAGTGATGTATAGCACTTTCTGTTCATTCAAAACTGGGGACACAGTAAGCATATTATGTCCCCAGTTATTTACAAACAATTAGTGAGCAGTCCTGATCACTGAGTGCTTGTAACCTGCTCTCCATCCTGGCTCGCCTGACAGCTCTCCTCCCCACATTCCCCTGACAGCTTCACTCCTCCCCGCTGGGTGTCAGTCTGTGTCCTCTCTAATCCCTGCTGCCTCTGCCGACACAGGCGAGGAAGAGCAGTGGGCACAGACCAGTGTCCAGCAGGGAGGAGAAAAGCTGTCAGGATTCACAGAATTTTCAGCCACATTTTGCCCATAGTATCATTTTCGTCCAAAATATTTTGGGGCCCCCTAATTTTTTCCCATTGTCACCTGGCTGGACACTGCTGCCTTGTCATGGTGGTGAGACGTAAATGGGTCATAAAGATACATCTGATGTGCAGTCCGCATGCTAAGTTTTTTTTAAATGTCCTTAACAGTTTTTTTCTGCTTTTTAATCATATTTTTAGTGCACCGATTAAGTATTAAGTAATCAGGTGCCATATTTGTAATGGCTATGACCTAATTTTTTCTACTGTTAATTTAAGACATATTTTTTTCTAACAGATTTTTGCATATGCCATTGCCATATTGGCAAAAGCAGTTTTAAAAAGAAAAAAGCTTATTGCATTATAAATAAGGCAGTCATGTACCATGTCTGCATTGTCCACTGACCTGCCAATGTTTTGCCTTTAAAGGTAGAGTTCACTTTTTTATAAAAAAATTATGAATGCACAATTTTTTTTCATAGAAGCCAGTAAAGCATTGCAACCACCATCAGTACCTCACTGGTGCAATGCTTGGGCTCCTGCAGACAGTCTCTCCTGGTCATGCCCGACCAAGGCACAGACATGCAGTAACATGGATGGGAATCAGAGTTAATGGAGTACAAGTGCTGTGACATCACTGCACTTGTATTCCTTTGAAACTACAAGCTCTCTGCCGCAGTGGCAGATGGGACTTGCAGTTCTTCCATCCTGTGGATAGATTACATGGCTGTGTAGGCAAAGCCACGCACAGCCGCACAATTGAAGAAAAAAACAGCAGCCTTAGGGGAGAAGAACCCCTGCGATTCACGTAAGCAGGGGGGGTTGCAATCTGACAATGTATCATGTTACATCCTAAATATGGGTGTAACTTGAAACATGGTAAGAAAGGTAAAATTAGCCTTTAATTTATAAAGATGCTTGATCCATTTTCTCAGAAGACTGGACTCTTTTTAAACCAACCATGTGCCATACTGCCATACTGTAATTGCATACTCTTTGAGCAGCTGGCACAAATTTGGTGGTAGTGCATGCTCAATCCACTTACCTGAGTACCAGTTTTGATCTACTGCACAAACATGGCTGAGGAACTGGGTAATGGCATCCCAGGAACCAAAGAGCCTTGCAGAGAAAATGTCCAGGCTGGGTCCTTCTCCTACTGTGAACACACCCCAATGCTACTCACTCATGGTGGCCTCTAGCCAACTGCAGAAGTATAGCTCCCACATAGGATTGAATGGAGCTATGGCATGCAAATGTGTTTCCGTATAAAGACGGAATGGTGCTAGGCAGGGCCGCACAGCAAAGATTGCTGGACCGGTGAGAAAGGTGAGTATTCTACTAAATGGCCTGCACTTGAGGGTAGGGGTTACTTAAAGGATCATTATCCTAAAGGTGATGTTGTTCTTCAGGGTAAATTACAGGCTATTGTAGCTGTTAGATCTCATCTTGCAGAATTAAAAAATATAGCATATAAATTGTACCTGTGACTTTGGACCCTTCCACACAGAATGACCAGAGTTTGTCTTTGTCAAAGTTCCCTGTGAGTGAACACCTATTGAGAAAAACATTTGTCAAAGCAGCTGTAAAACATGGAGGTAAAAAGTGCACATATATTGGTCAAAGTTGCAGAAAAATGTGGAGCACCTTCAGTACAAGATGAGCCATACACTATGCAAGTATCACATTGAATGTTTGAATAATTCAAGTCTTATGAGCATCACACAACAGGATGGTTACTCAGCATATTTGCAGACTAACTGGATGTGCCTTTCTGTTCACATTTGCCCATGTTTGGCATGTACTTACCTCAGGTAGCAGTACAGATAAATGCCCTCTGTAGAAAAGTAGAAGGCAACAGATCCTCGGTGCCACAAAAACACCGTAATGCGTATGCGGAAATCCTATAAATATCACCTATCTCAAAGCTGGAGTAGATATCGATGTTTCATGGAGAGAAGAGAATTAGATAGTGGACAATTGGTGAATAACTACCATATTGATCACGCCCTCTTTTATAAATATACCCATAAGTATGTATTTAACTTAACAAAATCACAAATAAGCAAACACTGAGCCACTCATTACCCCTTTTAACTATAATTTTTCAGTAGACCCCTTTAAACTAAGTAAAAAAAACGAACCTGTATTTACAAGGGCTTTATTTATCATTGAATGTAAAGTATACATATTCAGGATTAATCCACAGTAACCAGTTAGATTCACTTTAATTTTACTACTGTCCTGGCATGAACGTGGAGTCTATGAAGCAATGCTGACAGACGTTATTTTAGACAAATTGATATGTAAGGTCCAGTATGTTTACTTATTTCTATCTGACATGCCCTTATTGATTTGGTTGTTAATGGGAAACTAGCTTATTCTCAGTAAGTATACTTTTTTAGTAATTATTGTAATGTTTACCTTAGCCTTACCTTGTTTAAAGCCATTTTTATGCAATTTTTACTGGGTTAGTCACAGAAACAAGGTTTTTAAAAGGTTGACAGTCACTTTATTTATCTTATACATCTAATAAACTGTAAAAAGATTATAGTTTCTCTATCAAGATTAACTATGGCCCCTTCACACAGGCCCCGTGCACAGATCCTCTTCTGATCACAGCAGTACGGAGTGGATTACCGCTGTGACATCCGTGTCCGTTCAGTTTTTTCTTTCATCTTGCAATGGAGGAAAAACTGCATTTTCCAGACCCCACGCCAGTCTATAGGGAATCTGATGTAAACACATATGTGTCCGTTTACATCAGATTACCTCCGATCTAGCATGATCTGGTCAGTCGAAATGGATCACTGTTCCGTCTGTTTTTGCGGACACGGCTGGAGGCGTGGGGTAACCAGGCGTAAACGCACGCTTGTCCGTTTCCACATGGTAGCACTTTCTAAAGTGCTTTATTTTAAGTGCAATAACTTATAGCAAACCATCACAAACCATCGTGTATTGGTCTAAGTTCAGCAGAATTATTATCATTGGTTGCTGTAGGTTAATGCACTTAAAGGACAACTTCACCTTTAGTAAAGTTACCCATGAATAAATCCCCTCACCCCACTTAGTGAAAGCTATCTGGGATTATGCTTACTTTCAACCCCAATCCAGCGACCTTGCCTCTGACATGGTCCTGACTGACACCTCCTGTCCTGCTTCCTGGGGTTCTTAGTACCAATATGGGTGCCGCATGTTAACTTCTGTCTCTTCAGCAGAGCTATTCAAATAACACAGATAAAATTCCTTCTTACTGAACTCTTAAAACCAAGCTCCCTTTTCTTGACAAATATCATGACCAGGAAAAGCAAAGCATGGCGTTGGAAAAGTGAACAATACAGGTGGAAATGTCCTAGAAAAGTAGATAGAGCATCTCTCATATACTGTATAAAAGCCTTCTCACTGCTTATCACACTCTTTCACTGTTTATTAAACGTACACCTTAGCCCTCTATGATTGTGCATATGCATGTGTAGATTTCAGAGACTAATCGTCTCAGGAAGCTGCCCATTCCTCTCCCAGTCTTGAAGTCCCAGAGTTTTAATTTATATAATTTTTTAGTAAGTACATGACCCCATTAAATGGTGTTTTCATGTCTACCTGCAGGTCAGCTTTAAGGTATACTTTACAAATGGCATTGTTCTGTAAAACTTTTTAAATTATTTTAAAAAGAAATGGTGGATAGATGTGTTGCCCCCATCACCTTTTGTGAGGTGGCTACTACAAATTTTATGGTTGCCAGAGCTGTAGTCAGTCTGGCTCAATTATAGTTGGCATTTATCTGGTTAATTCCAGGTGTTCTGGCATTGATTGCACCTGCCTGAGTGGAGTATGACTGTGCTGCAGTGTGGGGCAACCAATGGGGGACACTGTGAATGTGTGTGCAGCCCACCAGCCAATCACTGGGGCTCTCACAGCCAGTGTTGCATGCTGGGACAAGGCATATATACTCCAGGGAATTGCCATGCCATGTGCTCTGTGCTGTTACACAGTTGCAAAAATATGACACAATGCATAGTCATAGTTAATGTTCATATAAATGTGAAGTGAGAATTTATATAGTTAATTTCCTTAGGCTATTGTCCTTTGGCACTAGTATAGCTGGTTAATATACTACCATCTTGTGGTTGTTTTGGTTATTGCACACGTGTCGTCCGTCCGTTTTTTTACTACGGGCGGACGGCAAGAGGTTAATCTGTTCGCATGGGGGGAAACATTACCATCTTTGACCTGCAAATACCATCTGTTCATTCATCTGCTACATCCTGTTGTCTGCTGTAATCCTGCTGCATTCAATAAAGAGCTTTGTGGATGAAAAGGTATTTGGTGAATTCAGCTATGTAATAAAGACTGTCCGCGGTGATTATATCTGCTTATACAGGCCAGGCATAGAGGTCTCAGCAAGGTATAAATCGCTAATACAACAATCAGAGCCAGAATATGCTCAGTCTGGCTCCAGCCATGGATTGGTCCAGGTTGGGGTGCTGTCCAGCCTTCCGCCAGGCTAGGTCTTGGGAGGTGGGAACACTTGAGTGCAAGAAGTGTTTCGCTAGGCCTCAAGTCTGGAGGAGGCCTCTGCTATTGTTGGAAAAGGAGAACCAGGCAAACTGATGGCTACTGGAGGTGCCTGGAATAGAGAGGGCCTCAGGAGCATTACTGGTGTCTCTCCCACTTAAGATTCTGTGCCAATCCCTATTCAACTGTGCTGCAAATCTTACCTGGGACTGGTAAGTCTGGAGTCTGTGTCTGTTTCACCCTGGATGTCTAGATAGCTAGGCCTCTATACCTTCTCTCCCAGAGTGAATATGTTAATAAAGTTCTTCAGCATCATACTTCTGGCCTGGATTTCAACTCTGTGGGTCACCTGAAGGGGGCAGTTAATGCTAATGGGGCAGCTGGTCACCAAAATCCCTAGACAGGTTAGTGATGATCCTGGCTATTCTGGCAGCTCCTTCAGGGGTGAGCGCTACAGATGTTTTTGCACAGAATTGCATGAAATCTACATAGCAGCCTTACCATGGCCTGAGTCTTCCTCTTCTGATACAAGTGTGGTGCAGCATGCGGGCATGATGGAATGGGAAATGGCACAGCTGACCAGTCTCTGTTAATACTGAGGGACATACAAAAGGATGATAATGTAAAGAAATTGCTTTTTAAAAAAAAAATAATAATAAAATAAGATATTCACTCAATAGAACACTCAATGTCTTACCTAATCCACCTAAGCCAGGTTTATGTTTTACTCTCTCTCTGCGTCTCTAGAGTATAATAAATAAATGAAGAATTAGTCTGATTAAACTACACAACCCCATATCCAAAAGAATTGTCAGACATTGGCTTATGTACAATGCTGTGCAGATATTTGATCTAAGCAAGACACCTGTTCATGTCAAAGTAGAATTGCTTGTGAATATAACAGTATATTATCTCTATATGTATACTGGGGCTGTCATGAAATTATTGGTAGAAAAGACAGTGAAGCTAGAACATGCAGATATGGTACAGCACACCCCTTACTTTGTATATATAAAATATTATAACATTTACTTATTCCAAAAAGAATATTCATTTAATGTGAACCTGTATTCAGGACAGATCCATCAAAGTAATACAACCACTGCACTGATCTTACCTGCCCAGCACTCCCCAATTTTTTGCTATCCAAAAATCCAATGCAATTACAGACTTTCTAAAAGTCAGTGTTTGCATAGGACTAAGCATGTTGCCCCTGCACCCCCATGTGCCAGCACTCAAGACTGGTGAAAGGTCCCTCAGACACTGAGCACGGAATTGTGGAAGGCAGTGGTAGTGATCACTTTAGCGATGAAATGTCCCTCAGCGACCTCATGTCTAACACACTGTATTGGACGGGATGACTCATAGGACCTTAGACCGCTGGAGCGGAGGAGGGGTGAGGCTGCAGGGACCAGTGTAGCAGCCAGCTGGTTCCGAGGTTCAGGTGAGAATATCTTTGTTATCTTCATCCCTAGATGAAAACTAGCACTTAACCCTTGCAGTGTGGGGGTAGCCCCAATGGTTAAAATTATCTCTGCCCGGAGTTCTGCTTTAAGTAGTTACAGTACTCTGCTACATTTGACTAAAACAGCTGAAGTTACGTAGTACTGATTCTGTGCTGTTTGTTACATACTACTGACCTCTGCACTGTGCTTTACATACTACTAACCTCTGCACTGTTTGTTATGTACTACTGACCTCTGAACACTGTGATACTTACTACTGACCTCTGTACTCTGCGTTACATATTACTAAACTCTGTACCCTGTGTTACTTACTACTGACCCCTGCACTCTGCATTATTACTCCTGACTCCTGCTCAGCATTACTTACTCCTGACCCATGTAGTCTGCATTGCTTACTAATGATCTTAGTAGGTTATCTCCTTAAAATAAAAAAAAAGGGCTGCACCCTGGTGATATTTGACCTCTTATATTGTGTTTAGGTAAATCTCTACCTCTCCACGGTGGTCTACCCCTGATTTAGACTATTTCTCATTTGTTTTATGTTGCCTGGCATTCAGCTTTAAATGTACTGGAGTAGTATGTCAATGAAAAAAACCTGTAATGTAACTTGTAATTTACAAGAACATGTGCATATAAATACCAAGTGCCCAACCTATAGCCCAAGGACCACAAGCAGCCCTTTGTTACTTGTTGTTTGGCCCTTTGACACCCTAGTAGTAAAAATGGAAGCACTGACTTGCAAAGGGGCAGTTATCTATAGCAGTCTCATGTAGTATGTCCCCTGTCTCTGACTGTACCCTGCAGCATGTTTCCAGTCTCTAACAACACATGTAGCACAGTACCTGACCATCATTACTTTCTAGTATGTCTGCAGTGTAGCCCCTACCACCTTTTGTGGAGTGGCTTCCAGAAATTTAGTATTGCTAGAGCTGTAATCAGTCTAGCTGATTTATAGTTGGCCATTATCTGGTTAATTCCAGGTGTTCTGTTATTGACTGTAAATGTCTGAGTGGGGTGTGACCCTGCCGCAGAGTGGGGCAGCCAATAGGGGAACATCTTGAGTGTATTTGTCTCACCAGCCAATCACTGGGGGTTTCATGGCCAGTGGTGCATGCAGGGGAGTGCATATACTTTATACTCAGGGGAATTGCCATTTGCACAGTCCAGTCTGTCCCCGGGCGTAGCCTGGGGGTGGGATGCTTAGTGATAGAAATGCTGCCTGGAATAGGCCACAAATGTGGACCCTAGAGGGGTCAGAAACTGAGTGAGAAAGAGAACCAGAGAAGCTGGATGGCTACTGGAGGTGCCTGGTACTGATATGGACCTCAAGAGCAAGCCTGGTGTCTCTACTATGGAAGATCTCATGCTTATCCCTGTTCAGTTGTTGCTATATTACCCAGTGTCAGCTTGTTCTCCTGTTGATTCTGCATTTTGGAAGACTGAAAGGGAACTGGTGACTCTGTTTTATTTTTGCCATAGATGTCCTAAGCCCTATACCCTCTCTCCCGGTTATGAAGTTCTCTAATAAAGCAATTGAAAAGGCATTTAAAGTGACTGGCCCCAAGTTTCTTGATCACACATCCCTTCACTGGCTAAGGATCTACCCGAGAGTGAAATGTCAGCCCTCTCTGCCCTTTGGGGGTCACCTCCAGCAGTCTCTGTCAGCCTTTTGTAGCATTACATACACTGAGCATTATGTAAGGCTTTCAGGTGCCATAGTTGAGACCCTCTATAGCTCATAAGTTAAAACACTTATATAAATCATGCATGCCTCTACCACATTACTACATAATATAATAATAATATATTCAGTTCTTTCTGATTCATTATTATAGCTTGTTTATCTTAGACTTTCCCATAAACCTCACCTACTCCCTCAAGAAGTCACTGTAGTGATCGCCAATATTTATACAAAAATGTTTTGTTTTTTTTAAAACAGACATTGCAGCCAACCCAGCCAAACCTACAATGCTGTCTGCAGTCTCCTAGCACCACTTTGTACACAGGACTCTGCCCTGGACAGTGGATTCAGGTAAGCACCAGTCCAGCCCATTCACTTTCAAGAGTCCAAACCTGGGGATATATTCCACCCTGGCTCCCCATCATCTAGTCTGGTTACAGCATCACAATAACAGGATGCTGTTCTTTTGTGGTTGTGGTTTTTGTTTTAAAGGAGAACAATGAGGTGAGTGATTTTCACTCACCTCATAGTTCGAGCCAACGTGTGACAATGAAACTGTCACACATCGGCTTAATAGATCGGGAAGTGAGCGAACACATGCCGTCGCTCGCTCACTTCTTGATCATGTCCCTGCAGAGAGCTGTGACTATCACTCGCGGCTCCCTGCAGGGATTCCCCCACTCCCCGCTCCGATCCTCCAGCGCTGACTGGAGGAACGAACGGGGGAGGGGGCAGGTACAGCTGGCTCTGCCTCTAGATAGGCAGAGCCAGCTGTCACTCACGCAGCTGGGTGGATCTCGACAGTAATGTTGGTATCTGTCCCGGCTGCGGCAGTCTCAGTATACTGCGAGCTGTAGCTTGAGGTATACTGAGCTTTGGGTCACTGGAGGACGCTAGTTTGTGTCCTCCCGTGACCCCCTAGGAGAACTTTGGGGGAAAACGCTTACCCCATAGTTCTCCTTTAAAGAATGCAAAGTGGCTAATCATGATTTTACAAAAGGGCTAATTTTTCTTGCAGGACAGTCATGTGACTTACTAAAATTTACAGAAAAATATGTTTAGTGATAGAATATGTGAGGCAGTGGGATCAATATTTTTGCTACATTGTAGGTGCTGTGTACAGTGACCAATTATCATTATTGGTAAACTACATGCATTACTCAAAGAGGACCTGTCACTTGGTGTGCAGCTACAAGAGGTGCAGAGGGAACAACTACTTCTGGACTCGTTGCTATACTAAGGTTACCCAGGTTAGGTATCCCTGTATAATAAGAATGTCAATACTTACCTCTCCTACCACCCATGCTGTCAAACACCACTCTGCTCTATGAATCTATGGGGAAATCTATTGGGATAGCTTTTTCATTCTTCTTGGTCCCTTGAAGATCCACCTGCTGACCTCCATTTTACTACATGGGACAGTATTGACATGGAGGACAGCTGGATTCCTCATTAAAGGACCTGTGCTTGACATTGCAGGCAGCAGGATATGTATTTACACTCTTCTTTTACAAGGATAGCTGACCTCGCCTGGGTAACTTTAGTAGAGTGATACGGTCAGTTTAAGAGACATTTGCTCACATTACAGTCTGTTCAAAATAAAGCATTATTTGCCTTTCCTTTAAGTCCTTTTAAATGTTGTTATCAGTATTTTCTGGCTCTAGTAGGCTTGTAAGAAATGAAGAATAGGAAATTTTACCCAGTCTCATAAATATGTAGTTCTTCAAGGCTGAACAGCACAATTCGATTTTTCACTTTCAAAATCAGTGACTCATTATTATCATCATTATCATTTATTATTCTTTATCTTTATTTCATCATAATTTTTATATTTATTTTCATCAGACCCATATCACCTCTATACTTTATTATTTATGTGATCTTGGGATAACACGTAATGTTTGCATACATTTTGTTTTACTATTATGGATTTTATTCTAATTTTGCACTGACCACAGTTCCGATTTCTTAAATAATGAAAATATTATTTTTGTTCATATTAAAGAACATTGTTTATGAAATATGAACTGTATATAAATGTAGAAGTACTGTACCTGCTTATAAATGTAGTAGTTCTTTATTTCGCTTATTTACATTGAGCCTATTTCACAGCCATTCACACCAATGCCATGTGTTAATTACACGTGCGGAAGGCACGTTGCATTGCCATTCATTTGAATGGCACCCCAAACGCACCTTTTGGCTGCAATGTGCTCAACCATGTCAGAACGAGTGGTGCCGTAATACCGTGCATTGCATTTCAAAACAGTAGTGCGTTCATGGTGCGAACGGGCCCTTTAGAGTACATTAGAGCAATATACATCAGTCCCTTCCCTTGAAGCAACTTAAAATCTACTGTGCCTAAAACAATTGTAGACAAATATACACACATTAGAGCCAGCTTTGGTTACACCTTAATTACCCTACATGCATATTTTGTTTCTTTAAAAGCTAAGTGCAGCTTTAAAACCATGTTCCATGTTACACCCATATTTAGGGCTTAACATGGATCGTGATGCCCTTCCACAGCCTCCCATCTTCAACACAGGATCTGTGAAAGAAAAAACTACAACTGCAGCAGAGGAACTCAATGGAGTGTAGGTCTCAACGGAGTGTAATTGAGGTGACACCACCACACTTGTAGTCCATTGATTAGCTCTCCAACTCCATAACTAAAGGTCCATACCTCCGTACGGATCCGTACGGATCTGGAGCAGGAGTAGTAGTCTGCAGGAACCTGTGTATTGCACCCGCCATTCACTAATCGCTATTGCAATGCTCTGCAGGCTCCAAAGTAAAAGATTAATAAATGTACATTTTGTTTTCTTTTTAATACATGGGTGCAATTATGATTGTTTACAAAAAGTGGAATATACTTCAGAGTCTGACAAACCTGGTCAAAGCATGCTACTTTATGTATGAAATTACTGGTTTTCTAAGTTCTTTTGAGGGAAATTCTCTTTAAGCTCATTAATATCTAACAGATCTTCAGTTCTACAGCTCTAGTCCACATCCTACAAAATATCTGATAACGTTGTTTCTAATTGTCAACAAATCTATATCAAACTGTTAGCTAATGGAGAAATTACCATGTGGTTTATAGAGTTCACATAAGGCAGAAGATGGCAAAAATACCCAAAAGTACTTTTATACAAGTCAGTATTCATATAAGGTTATTCATTTATGATGTGACTCAGTATTAGATTTCTGATGCACAGATAGACATATATAAACAAATGCACACTTAGCACTGGTGATAGAAGGTACTTACTGGTTTAGCTTGAGCAATGGCCAGAACAAGCAAGACGAATATAAGGAGAAGCTTCATGATGACCACATAACAAGTCACTAAGCTCAAAATTGAAAAGGCAAAGGTTAGGGCGCCTGGATTGCACAACAGCAAAAAGGGGCATTCACCTTTTACCTCTGTACCGCACAGGTATGTGTGAGGGTGAAGGACAACACTTTAGTTTCAGGTCTCATCCGCAATCATGAAACAAACATACTGGCATTATGAATTTCCATAAACGGGGGTTGCAGCTTTAAAGTGGACCACTAGGCAAAGTTTTTTTTTTTGTTAATATAAAAATCTATGCTTTTGGACAAGGACTCACTTAAAAAAAAAGGTTAACGAGCTGCTATACTACTAAACACCAAAGGGTCTACAATCTTCTTAAATAAAACTGTACCGTGCTGTTCAGCTCTGTAATCCAACGTTTGCAATAAATAATGACATTACATTTTTTTTTTTAAATGTACATTTATAATTTTTTTGCATTGGTGTCTGCAAAGCATTGCATCTATAATCAGTGGGTCATGGGTACAATGCACAGGCTTCTGCAGGCTGTTCCTCCAACACCGGGTCCATACGGGGGTACGGACCATCGCTTATGGGGCTGGGGGAAGTAATTGATGGACTACAAGTGCAGTGACGTCAACACGCATGTGCACTGTTTAGGTCTACGAGCCTCTCTGACGCTCTGGCATATGGGAATTGTAGTCTTACATTCATAGATTATGTGAATGGATCTGTGAATGGATGATGCAGCTGTAAAAAAAAAATACAAGATGCTGCGGGGAGAAGAGCCCCACAATTCAGGGAAGGAGAGCAGTTTGAAGGTGGGGGGGCTGTGGACTGTGACCTTAAAAAATCCAGTGTACCCATCGCACTCCTGACCGAATAATACCCATAGAGTCAGGTGGGTGTCAAAGTGACTGCAGATGCCTCTGCAATCCAAGATAAGTGTATGTATAAAGTCACTCGCACTCCAATAGAATTTCAAGTCAAAAACGGTTTTCTGACTCGATTGCTATCACATCATTATAGCTGCTATGTGATAGCAATCAAGTCAATAAACCGTTTTTGACTTGAAATTCTATTGGAGTGCGAGTGACTTTATACACACGCTTATTTCATGTCACTCACTAAATATAGGTGTACCATGAAACATGGTAAGAAAGATAGAAGTAACCTTTAAACTCCAGAGAGGCTAAGAGTGGAGAAGGGATTGAATCTCTACCTGGTCTTTAATGCTTTATGCATCATCCACTGGGGAGATCTAAATAATGTCCTTTTTTGGAGAGACAGTCGCCTCTCCAGAGTTTTAGACCCAGTTTTCAGATAACTGACGTGTATAAGAAATGTTTGGCTTCCCTATCTCATTGTTATCAACTCAAATATCATAAGGGGTGGGTGGGAAATGTGCGTACATTGTGATCTCAGTGGTTCATCTAGGCAGTTATCATGTGTTCCTGGGCGTGTTATTCTGCTAAATAAGGACTGCAGCAAGTGCAAGGGATTGTTGTGGACCAGATTCATTTTGGCATTTTTTGAGGCACATTCAGCACTTTCTAGAACCCTCATGTGTATTAAGTTACAGTTTATGGGGAGTTTGTAACATGAAAGTATATATATGTAGACTGTTAAAATTCATATGAATCAATGTCAGCATTTCTAAATCATATTTTTTTTAAAACCTTAAAAAGACATGTAGTCTTTTAGACACGTAGCACTTTCTTATTTAACGTGAATGTGAGCTACATAAAAAAATCGCCTTTTTAGCGCTGATTTGAGCTTAGCGACTTTGAGCTACATTGAGCTACAGTGCACATATTGTCACGCTACATAGCACTACTTTTGGCATGGACTTCGTAGCTGCTACATTGGGCTGTATCCATTCAAAAGCGGTCTTTGATGTGGCATAATTCCTATTCCTGTTTCCTGCTTATGTTCCTGGTTATATTTCTGTGCAAAAGTGACCCTTCTGTAGCGCAATATCATCGCGCAATGTCACGCGACATTGAGCTACACCATTGAAGTCTGTTCGGCCAAATCACACAAAATCCACCGAAAAATAGGTCATAGCTCAAACGACAAGGTTGAGCTACAAGCTAAAGGCGACATTGAGCTGTGAGATGTGGACAGCTCCATTGAAATGCATTGGATGAGCTATATTGAGCTACACTAAGCTGATGTTTGAGCAATTTTTGAGCTGTAATCGCGCTACAAATTGCTCAGTGTGAATGGGGTCTAAGGTGAAGCTGGGTGTCCAAGAGACCCCTAGTGTCACCTTTCCACTCTAAATAAGCTATTGGAGTGCAGATTGCATTTCCATAGCTTATTGCTCGGCTTCAGCAGCCAAGCAATGACAGCTACGGGACTGGAAGTGATGCAATCAGCAGCCTCCAACAGGGCATTAGAACGCTTTAATTTCCTCTCCATAATGTGGTCTACCACAAAATGGCCACCAAACCTCCTCATTGGAGACAACTATATGAGAGAAACAGGTTCATTCATATTTTTGTGATTGAAACATTCATTTCGATCAAAACAAATTGCTTCATCTAAAGCTGATCTAGTTCTCTAACCTAAACTGACTAAGCGTGACTGTTTTTTTTAAGAGAAGAGATGGGCTACAAGAAAATGGTCACCTGTCTTCTGCAAGATTTCTCTGGCTGCTTCTATTATGCACCTATGGCAACAAGGAACAGGAATCAGAGGATTGGCTGTGGCAGGAACACAGAGTGGAAGTGGGAGGAGCAGTTCTTGGATTATAATAATTTAGCCGGCGGATTTTTCTTAGGGAGCCACAAGTCCGGTTTGAATAATGTGCCCGGGTGAGAGGCGGGCTGACACCCGGACACAGGATTCCAAAACTGACGTGATAAAACACATAGTTTCTTGTTTGAGATTAACTCCATTACAAAGACTAGAGGACACCACCTAAAGTTGGTGGAGAAAAAATTCCAGCACAATGGGCAAGAGGGTTCTTTACAGTAAGAGCAGTTAAGGTCTGAAACTCACTGCCATCGGCAGTGATTTCAGCCAAGAGTGTAGATTTGTTCAAGAAACGTTTGGACAATTTCTTGAGGGACCGTAATATCCAGAGATACCAGTATTCCTAAGAATGAGATGATGCGTGGACCTATATGGGTTGGACTTGATGGACGTATGTCTTTATTCCACCCCAAATACTATGTAACTATGTAAAAACTGGACTGCCCGGCTGAATTCCGGATGGGTGGCAACCCTAAGCTAGATGCCACCGACATATGCAGCGAAAGGGTCCGGCCCTAGCTGCCTAGTTTGCCTAGTGGCAGCGCCGGCCTGGGTGGTAGTTAAGGGAACCTGTTGCTTTAAACTGCATGGTTAAAACACAAGTTCACCTTTGGAAAATTGCCAGACATAACATAATAGTCATAGGAGAATTCCGATGCTTTAGAAAGAAAACAAAGCTTCATACACTATATTGCCAAAAGTATTGGGATGCCTGCCTTTACACACACATGAACTTTAATGGCATCCCAGTCTTAGTCCGTAGGGTTCAATATTGAGTTGGCCCACCCTTTGCCACTATGACAGCTTCAACTCTTCTGGGAAGGCGTCCACAAGATTTAGAAGTATGTCTATGGGAATGTTTGACCATTCTTCCAGAAGCTCATTTGTGAGGTCAGGTACTGACTGATGTTGGACGAGAAGGCCTGGCTCGCAGTCTCTGCTCTAATTCATCCCAAAGGTGTTCTAGGTCAGGACTCTGTGCAGGCCAGTCAAGTTCCTCCACCCCAAACTCGATCATCCATGTCTTTATGGACCTTGCTTTGTGCACTGGTGCGCAGTCAAGTTAGAACAGGAAGGGTCCATCCCCAAACTGTTCTCACAAAGTTGGGAGCATGAAATTGTCCAAAATGTCATGCTATGCTGATGTCTTAAGAGATCCCTTCACTGGAAATAAGGGGCCAAGCCCAACCCCTGAAAAACAACCCCACACCATAATCCCCCCTCCACCAAACTTTAAACTTGGCACAATGCAGTTAGGCAAGTACCGTTCTCCTGGCAACTGCCAAACCCAGACACGTCCATCAGATTGCCAGACAGAGAAGCGTGATTCGTCACTCCAGAGAACACATCTCCACTTCTCTAGAGTCCAGTGGCGGCGTGCTTTACACCACTGCATCCCACGCTTTGCATTGCACTTGGTTATGTAAGGCTTGGATGCAGCTGCTCGGCCATGGAAACCCATTCCATGAAGCTCTCTACACACTGTTGTTGTGCCAATCTGAAGGCCACACAAAGTTTGGAGGTCTGTAGCTATTGACTCTGCAGACAGTTGGCGACTTCTTTGCACTATGCGCTTCAGCATGCGCTGACCCCACACTGTCATTTTACGTGGCCTACCACTTCGTGGCTGAGTTGCTGTTGTTCCCTGTTGCTTCCACTTTGTTATAATACCAGTAACAGGTGACCGTGGAATATTTAGTAGCAAGGACATTTCACAGATGGATTTATTACACATGTGCCAACCTATCACGGTACCACGCTTGTAGTCACTGAGCTCCTGAGAGCGACCCATTCTTTCACAAATGTTTGTAGAATCAGTCTGCATGCCTAGGTGCTTGATTTTATACACCTGTGGCCATGGAGGTGATTGGAACACCTGAATCCAATGATTTGAAGTGGTGTCCTAATACTTTTGGCAATATAGTGTATATTGTCCCTGTAGCAGGAAATTAAGCTGAAAAGCTAAAACTATACTTGTGATTTGCTATGGTATTCCCATTACCAATACTGACTTTAGTACTAACCAGTACTAACGTGGACCAAAAATTTGACATGGACCTCAGCCTTGTTTGTTCACATGAACATCACGTGACTTATGTTGTGATGAATCTTTTTGTGTGTCATTTTCAATTAAGATATCACATGCATTTAAATACTGCTAATGTGTTATATATTATTTAGAGCGCAAAAAAAAATCCTGATTCCATTTACATTTAATGACTTTATTACTAATGTACTGCAGATTTCTAAATTTCCACATACCTCTATTTAATATTAATCAGAACGGGATTACAGAACATTTCCATCCTAAAATCATTCCCAAGTGCTTGATATAATGTAACTAATGTATTCTAAAACCTTATGCTTGAGTGCTACAGGAAGCTAAGGTGGGTTCTCACCATGCAAATATGTCATTTTAGTACAAGCAGGGGTTTCATTTTAGCTTATTTATTTAAAGCTAAACTCCAGGCAAACGGCGAACTACACGGATGCAATATACAGTATATATGGGAGTTATTTTACCTGCCAGAGGGTTTGTATTTCTGACAATCCAGTCCTGTGATTGACACAGCTCCGATCCAATGCACAGCCCTGTCTAGCAGATGTGGGAAGCTGATCTTTCTATGTTGTGGTTTCTTTTTCATTTGCAGGTCCCTACCTACACCCTGGACAGTAAAAGGAGAAGCAACACACTGATTAGCTCATCTCTGTGTCACTTTGCACCCTCCTCCTATCAACAAGCTCTTTGCACTACAGCACACCTGAATGGCTTCTGAATTCTGTACAGTAGACTAGAGGAAGCTAATAACAATCAAAATCAGGTATACTGCTTGTAATAAAAAAACCAAAATAGAAGTAATGACTTATTACTGCATTTGTTATTCATTTTATATATGCCTGGAGTTTAGTTTTACTGAGGGAAATATGTGGGATTTCACTGCTGACTTCTCCATCTGAAAAAGCTGCTTGCCGGGCTCTTAAGCTGATCCAATAGATGTAATACTATTTGAGTCACTCAGTGGAACCAGTGTCAAGAGTTCTAGCTTCAATTGGACTACACTTGTTGCCTACCTGCTCAATGACAGTGGTGTGGAATATACCAAAGTCAGGGGCAGCCAGGCAGCTAGCATTTCTGAAGGAAGTAAGACATAGAAATCTCTCTATTTCCCCTACTGCATGTGTCTGTATAAAATAAAAGGACAAACTGAGATGTGTCACATTCAGATAGTTCAGTACACGCACCCCCTACTTTTCTGAGTCAGAGGAGCAGCGAAGTACTAAACTTTGCTGGCTTCAAGGTCAACCTTACTTAAAGCTATATTTTCAGTCATGCATGGTTGACAACACTGCAATGAGTTTACTGCAGAACAATCAGTGTTGTCACTCTGGTACAGGGAGTGGAAAATTAACAGATTTACTGGCAGGATCAGCAGGTAATAAAACTGTTGTTACAGGAAGGGGGGGGTTTAGATTGCAGTATACATGACATTTTTCCTTTTGACCATAGTTCCACTTTACTGCAGATGATTGGCTGTAGTCACTGTTTGGCTGATAATGTTCCATCCAGCTCCTTTCATTTTCTGATTGAAGGATGTTAGGCAGGAGGATGGCGTCAGCGCCACCCAGGGAACAAATTTTGTCTGGTTCATCAAGAACAGGCCGAAATTTCTCTCAGTGTGTGGCCAGCTTTAATCTGCTTGGTTGCAGCAATTTTACATTGTCACTACCTTACTGAACCGAATAAACAAGGCAGAGTTATTTTCAAAACCTGAGACGCTGCTTATAGCAAACAAACTCTGTTGTTTTTAGTACCGCTGAAGATAGAAAAATAAACATCTGCCTTGTACAGGCTGGGCCACCACTCCTTTTCACTCTTTATATAAATATGCTCTGCAATGATTTACATAGTAACCTTCATTTATAAGCAACACAAACACCTTCAGCACCTAAAACATTTTCTCTCTATGTATCTACAGTACTAGCTGTCTGTCTTTCTATTAATCTATATATCTATCAATATCTTTATATCTATCTATCTTTCTATCTATCTATCAATCCTCTTTATTTCTATCTATCTGTTAATCTATCAATCATCTTTATATATATCTGTCTAGCTATTATTCTCTCTCTCTCTCTCTCTCTCTCTCTCTCGCCC